TAAGTGCCTAGATTGGTTGAAATTGAGAAAAAGAAAGTAATAAAGTTCTTTTAAGACCAATTCCTTAACAATCTAGGGAAAAACAACATGAAATAATGCACTTATCAGTACTCACCTTTCCACACAAAAAGTCGCAATCTCCATTCTTATAGTTTAGATGAATTACTGTATATTTTCCAAAAGAAAAAGTTAAAGGGTGAAAGTGTTTATCTGGAAAAACAAGCCTATATTTATGGCTCCACATGGGCCATAAAATTAGGCCTCTTGTGTGACATCCCGTCCCGAAAATATCGGAAATGTGCTTAGGAAATGACCTTTTTACCCCTAGTTGGTTTTCGTATTATTGTTTTTGGTTACTTTGTGTGGTGTTGGCAAGCTTTGGGCCACACACACACACCTGCACATACACTGTCTCTCTTCACCCTCTCTCTGTCTCTGTCCCGTGTCTCTCTCTCTCTCTCCCTTTCTTCTTCTTCTTCTTCCAAAAACGTACGGACCAACACACATACCCCTCAAACTGTGGTGGATCGAGGAAACCAAGGACACATTTGAGCTCGTGAGGTCGAGGGGAACACAACCGTAGCATTTTCAGGTGAGAAACACATCGTTTTCACGTCGATTCGACGATGTCCGTTTTGAGCACTGTTTATGCAAAAGTTATACATTAAGTTTTTGGGTTTTCTGAGCTTGTAGATGTGTTGGTGAGGTCCCAAGGAGCCTCGGAGTGCTTCGTTGGACAAAATTGGACGTCGGGATCGTCCTGTTCTAAGTTGGCCGGTTTTGGAGAAATTGCACAGGTATAATCTCTTAGTTTTAGCCCTTAAAACTTGTTGGGACATGTTCTACTAGTCTAGGGCTTTCATTTGGTCCAAGAATCACGAAAAACGGTCGAGAAACGAGCGAGAAAACCCTAGTTGCAGGTTTTCCCAGTTTCCGGCGCCAGCGACGTCGCCGGCGTTCGAATGAAGAAGGCGACAGAATATTCCGTCAATTCTGACGGAATATTCCTAACGCCGTTAACGGATCCGGTTAGTTTTAACGGAATATTCCGTCAGTTTAACGGAATATTCCTGACGGCGTCTGTTGACACCGTCAGTGTGCCTGGCACGTGGCCGCGCGTGGGGGGCGCGTAGGTCCGTGCCTGTGCTGGCGCGTGGGGGCGCGTGCGGGGTCCAAAAATTTTTCTAAAAATATGGTTGTGACCCTGAGGTTGTGTAGAGCACGTGGGTATATTCATTTGTCCATTTTGAGCAATGTATGAGAAGTTATTACGAGAAACGGGTTATGTGCTTTAAAGTTAACGTTTTTATAGTTGTTTCGCATCTAGGTGACACGTACCCAGAGGACGAGCGTGCACACGCGAGACAGGGGGGCTACGACCCTTCTACATACCAGTGAGTGGGCTTTTGTTTTCCGTATATACCTATATACATTTATATTCCCAGAAATTGAATTAAAAAGGGTTATTTGCCTTATGCCATGCACTTTATTATTTATCGTTTATGCATCTTTGCATGCATTATTTGTGGCATACATATACATATGCATATGTCATATATATTTATATGTGGGTGCTGTGGAAGCATAGGTAAGTGCCAGGTAAGCGTTCTTTAACGATTGCATTAAATAGTGGTTAGAGATGCTTAGAGAGCTCATAACCTGCACCCCCGGTGTTAGTGCTCCCGCCCAGAGTAGGGCACAGTCCTTCACGTGTTGTTCACCTCCCGCACCATACGCTCAGCTTGGATCCAAGCTAGGTGCATAGGCCTGTCGTACAGACCACAATAGGTGGTTCCGACTCGTAGGTGACCCGCGATTATTCGCACAGCCCTCACGTGATCGTAGCACTAGAGCGTATATATATGTTACACCCAGGCTTGTCGTACAGACCACTTTAGGTGGTTTCGACTCGTGGGCAGGTTTAGATATCGAGAGTGAGATTTGAGCTCTAGATGTAGCCGTACAGGTCACGTAGGTGACTCCGGCTGCCTGATTACATGATATTGATTATGATTATACCTGGGCACTTGCATATCACTTTGAGATTTTGGCATGGCATATCTTGAGCATGATTGGTATACCCTTGAGCATGTTTTGCATGTTTACACATACGTATATATGTTTATTTTCTGGGAAGTATACAGGTTTTACGGCGAGGGGTTAGAAAGTATTTTGTAAATGGTTTTAGAAAGAATTGTTTTTGCCCACTCACGCTTTTGTTTTGCGCCCCTCCAGGTTCTAGTTGCTTAGCCGTTGAGGTGGTTTCCCTTGAGAGCTTTTCGGCGTTCTGATAGACACTCCCCATTGTAGGGTCGCCTTCGGGCGTACTACTGTTGTTGTTTTATTTGGACTGCTATAGACCTGCTCTGAATTTGTATCGCACTAACTAGCACTCATTCTAGTACTTGTATGCTAGTTTTTAATTATTCGTACTTTTATATTACTACTTATTAGCTTCCGCACGTGCACATGGCTACGTCACCTTTGTGTGTGACGGCCAGCACGCTCCGATCTCGGTCGGGGTGTGTCATCTTGTATCTATTTTGTTTAATCGAAGCGATAGCGATTATCTATTAAATATAAATACAATTATAACACGATAACAAGGGTGTCAACCGAGCACATCTTCTTCATTGATCAAATTCTTGATATGGGTAGAATAAATGCACAACAAGCAAAAATAATATATCCTCTATATAGTAGCCACAATAAAAAAAGAACACACAAGAACTAACAGTGTAAATCTGCCAACAATATATAGATTAAGAGTGGCAGATTTGAAATTGAGGAACACATAAAGCCATCAGTAAAAATTTGAGGCCACACAAACCACAAGCAGTAAAAACATACACAAACACAACTAAGCCAAGAATGAAATCATCCAAGCCTTTTCATCAACCACTGCAACAATTTTCTACTAAAGTACAACTCGGCATCAAAGAAGAGATAATTCATTTCTTAAATGTCGATTTTATTCAGACCGCTCGATACGTGGAGTGGTTGGCGAATATTGTGCGAAGAAAAATGAAACCCTTCAAAACGTAGAACATTGATTTTGGCACAATATTCGACTAGCACAATATTTTTCAACCACTCCACGTACCGAGCCGTCTGAATAAAAACGACATTTAATAAACGAATTATCTTGTCTTTGATTTTGGCTAGCACAAAGAAACAACTTAAATTATTGCTCGGCAAAATTAATTTTCTTCGCCGATTTATTTCAAAATCGGCCGGCAAAATGAAGACGTTTTCTCAACAATATCTATCTGGGCCTAAAATCTAGGATTTAGGCCGAGGAAATGAGAAGTCAAGAGGAAAATTGCTAGATCTTGGCCCAATGATGAATATTTAGCCCAGGAGGTAAAGTCTCAGCCAGAAAAAGGAACGTTAGTGGTGCGACCAAGTCTTAGTAGAATTACGACTGCTAAAGGATCACATTTAGATGATGGTTGGGTCAAGTTTCGGATGAATTAGGATTATTAAGGACAGGATGGGTTTTGACAAGACTAGAATTAGTCTAAGGATCAAAACCTTGTGATTGATCTGATAAGAAGTGAAATGGACGCATAAAGGGACAAGGTTCAAAATCCTAGTTCAAGTCAAAGACGCTGAAAATTGATCTAGATAAAGTTTAAGTAGGAAAGGGATCTGAATGTAAAAAAATATTCAGGTGCACGTTGAAGAGTCACAGTCCTAGTAGCATTCTATCACTTGGCAGACTTGGCCATGAAGAAATTAACCCTCATAAATATAAATAGTTTTGCAACGTAAAAAGGACCCTTAGCTCCACACACAATCAACGCTTATGCGAAACCCACTGATCACGCCCTTGAGAAAATACTAACTACTCTACTATACGTCCACACAAATTTAGTTTGGTTAAACATCATTGGTTGATAATTAGCGAAGGTGATAGTTTGGTTAAACAACACTGGAGTCGCATAACTAGATTGGTCCAGAAGTCTTGGCAGTTTGGTTAACCAACAGACTCTCCACTTTCGACTGACTATCTATCCCAAGTCCCAGCCAGCGAAGAGTCTCTGATTCTTTTGTCGAAAAGGTCATTTCATCAACTTTCCTAGTGAAATGGAGTATTCTATGATCGATTATTCACAAGTATCATTTAGAGTTTCTCATATCGACGACCGAACAATTTTTACCACAAAGATACTCATTTCTTTTGTGTACCTTTATCCTTACAGTTTGGTACTGATTCGGCGCACTTATATTTTCATCAATATAGTTGAAGCTACCGAACATGGTACAAGAGATCTTGAACTTAGTAGTGAATGCATAACCTCGTCTTCAGGTTATAGAACCCCAGCTGAAGTCGCTCGATGTAGAAGTCAGCTGAGCAAATCATCACCACACCACCACATCCATCTTACTTGCCAGACTAAGCTTGGTAGCGGGCATAGTCAACCACATAAAAACTAAGTTAACTCATTAATTACTCGACTTGCACGCCAGCATCAGTAGTCAACCACATAAAAAATTAGTTAACTCATTAATTACTCGACTTGCACGCCAGCATCAGTAGTCAACCACATAAAAACTTAGTTAACTCATTAATTACTCGACTTGCACGCCATATAAGCTTTGTAATTTTTAAGGTCAACATGTGTACTTGCTAGATCAATTGCAATGGCAAACTAGTGTTTGCACATCAACCGACATATAATGGGTAGTTAACGTGATAAGAAAATGTAATCTAACATTACACAAAAGGGAAAGATATTTTCCAAATTACCCCCCTTTATCTCTTTACACTTCCCCTCTTATTTCCAGCTAGAGAACTGAAAATTAACGTTAAATCAAAAGACAAATACACGCAGGAAAGTGGAGATGGCAAAAAGAGTGTAAAAATGATTCCCTTGGACAAAAAGGTAAAGGTTGGAAAGGGAAGATAGCAAAGATGGAGGAGGGTTGGAAAAAATAAAAATAAAAATTGGTGAAAATAGAAACTAATGTAAATTAAAGAAAAGTTAAAAATCTCAATCAGTTTGAGCACAGATGCTGTTAAAAACAAGCATTTATGTGGATTTACATGTGGATTCCATTCTTCTTCCCTCCTACTGATTCTCCACTAATTGTGTCTCATCAACAAGAGAAAGGTGAACCAATTATTCCAACGAAAGAAAGTCGTTTTGGTAAAGAATTCTTCATTAATTTCAGATATTCTCTGTACATGTCCCTCTTTAAGTTAGAATCCTTCCTCTTCTTATATATATATATGTATATAGTTCCCACAACTTCTTCAACTTAAACTTTTCTGAGCCTATTAGTCTCTCTGAATTAAGCTTGAAGAATCCCCAGACCTACCCTTACCTACAAGGTGATTTTCTTTAAGCCTCCTTTTCTACTCTTCATTTTTCATCCTATTGATTTTGGTTTTCTTCTTCCACCCTCTTCATTCACCACTTATTCCTTCCACAACTCTCTCTGTCTCTCTCTCTCTCTCTCTCTCCCTCTCTCTCTCTCGCACACACACAAACACATGAACTTCTGGTCCAATAATTTCCAGAACTCTTACTCTTCACAAATCAACCACAATGATTGTTTACAAAACGTAAAAAAGCTAACAGAAAATTAAGAAAATTAATGATTTGTCATAATGTCCTCTGTATTTGCAGAAGTTGGGAGATAATTAAGCAGGATGGCTTCTGCCCAGGTCAAAGAAAAGGTAGCAGCCAAAAAGTTTCAGAAGACCTACTTTGATGTCTTGGGGTTGTGCTGCTCTTCAGAAGTTCCACTCATAGAGAATATCCTCAAGCCTCTTGAAGGTGTGAAAGAGGTTTCAGTGATTGTGCCTTCCAGAACTGTAATTGTTGTCCATGATATCCTCCTCATTTCCCAGCTTCAAATTGGTAAGTACCCAACAATCTTTATTTTCTCTCAAATTATTACACCAGTTACTATTAATATTTTCCATTAATTCTCTAATATCTGTGTTAAAAATTTGTTGTTTGTTTGTTTGTTCGCTTTTTTTTTTTTTTTTTTTTTTTTTTGGCGTTATTCCTTGCACAACAGAAAGCAAATAGTTTTGGGGAAAAGATAAAAAAAAAGTAGCAGTCGGTGGACATTACTTTTTCTGTTGTCAAAGGGCATTATTAATCAGCATATCGTGTACAATCCAACAAGAGTTCGTAAGATGTTTTACTTTGCTTTTGATCACCCACTAATTTATAGAATATAAAAGTATTTCAAATAATTTCGTATCTTTTAGATGCTTTCTGCAATTTTTTATGATGGGATTGTACCAAAACATCTTACGGACTCTTGTTCTTCGTAACTCCTTTCACTGTTTTGTCATTTTGAACTTCTTTGAACGTTACTTTGGTTTCACAGTTTATTATTATAATATACCTAAAACTAGCTTTCTGTTGGGCGGCTAATTCTTTGTCCGTTTTACCTTATTTTTCTTGTGATCATATATAATACTATATAATATTTCACCCCTTTGGTGTGAGTCCTGGGACTCTTTGACTATGAATCCCAAAGGGGTGAAATATTATATAGTATTATATATGATGTGATCATATTTTTCTTGTGCTCGGAAGCAAATATATTTTTCTTGATGAAAATGCCCTTGTGATCTTGATAAACTAAAATGAGTACATAATATGTTTCTTTTATATACCAAAAGTAGAGAGAAGTTATTTTAGTAAGAAGAAATTAAATAATGCTATGTTCTAGTACTATTAGTTGATTTACCTGAATGTGCGTTTAAATTCGCAGTCTTACATTTGTTATCCTATGGACAGTTAAGGCATTAAACCAAGCAAGGTTAGAAGCAAATGTGAGAGTGTATGGGGCAGGGGACAGTTACAAGAAAACGTGGCCAAGTCCATATGCAATTGGTTTTGTTTTGTCCCATCAAATGACATTTAGAAACTTGTTGGAAGTTGAAAGAAATTAATACGACCATGGTCGCACATGAATAGACATCACAAAATTGATAGTGCTCAGAAGCAAATATATTTTTCTTGATGAAAATGCCCTTGTGATCTTGATAAACTAAAATGAGTACATAATATGTTTCTTTTATATACCAAAAGTAGAGAGAAGTTCTTTGAGTAAGAAGAAATTAAATAATGCTATGTTCTAGTACTATTAGTTAATTTACCTGAATGTGCGTTTAAATTCGCAGTCTTACATTTGTTATCCTATGGACAGTTAAGGCATTAAACCAAGCAAGGTTAGAAGCAAATGTGAGAGTGTATGGGGCAGGGGACAGTTACAAGAAAACGTGGCCAAGTCCCTATGCAATTGGTAGTGGCGTGTTACTTGTTCTATCATTTCTGAAGTATACGTATCGGCCATTAGGATGGTTGGCCCTTGGAGCGGTGGCCCTTGGCATTTTTCCCATTGCTATGAAAGGTTTTGCATCGATTCGAAATTTCAGGTTTCATGATATCAACATTCTTGTTATCATTGCCGGTGAGTCAATACTTGGTCTTAATATTCAACTTTTTGTCATTTTATTCTACACAATATGTTAATTTTCTACCACTCTAAGTACTAGTTTGGTACACTTATACTTTTATAAAAAATGGGTATTAAAAAAAGCTGAGCTCAAAAGAATGTTTGATAAACACTTAAAAACAACTTATTTTCACAGTTTTGGATGAAAAAAAGTTGAAAACGTGAAGTAGCAAAAATGAACTTATTCACACAGCACAGCAAAAACAGTTTTTTTTTTCAAAGCATAGCAATACCAAACCAGCTCTAATATTGGTCTTACACTGCCGTATGGTGTTACAATAATTATATGATGACATATACTTACAATTAAAACACATCCTCTTTTGTCAATCATCTATCATGGGAACAATACATGAGGAGTGACAAAAACGCATGCAGTAATTCGTTAATAATAATAAAAAAAATTAAAAAAAGTTATTGGTCAAATTAATAATATTTGTGCTCTACAAAATTTTGGTAAGCTATTTTATAATAATTGGTTAAAAGGAAATGACTAAAAGGTTGGGTATAATTTGGACAAGTAAATTATGGTATTAATAAATCTCGGCCGTCCCTTTTTTATTACAACTTTGATTAGTTTTGAGTAATACTATATTTATCTTATTTACCGAATCATATTTGTACTAGCTTTTTAATAGATGTATGATTCACTAACACATATGGGATCCATTTCTATTAGATGTAGTACAAATATGGTATAAAAATACAGTAAGAATAACATTTTATTTTAGTTCCTTTTGAAATTATAAGATTCTTGTTCGTTATATTGTACATATGCACTTGATTATTTTGGGCACCGAGCTCTTTGGATGTTTTAAAATGACTTTGCCGACCTTCACACCAGAGAGATTTTTCAGTATGTCAAGGATATTGTCTTGTACGCTAAAGGTATTAATATAATTGGTTGAAAATTAAAAAAAAAAAAAAATTAACCAATTATAATATAACATTTGATATATCAAGTCGTATTTCCATATTGAAAAGTTTCTCGTCACACCGAACTAACCAAAACAATTGATCCTTTTGTTTTTTTAATTTTTTTTTATATTTTTTGTTTAGAAAAATTGCAACACATCACGTTTTCTTAGAAAGTTTGTATGGATACATGTCGGTTTAAGAGTTCCAATCCAAACGTCACCGGTACGCAACTAAAGATATTTTTTTTATGCACACGAAAGATCCAAATGATTAGTCTTTGGCTTCTTGCAAGTTCGAATGGATAAGCGTGTTTAAACTAAAAGTTTGGATGGATATTTGGATTTTGTTAAAAATCGCTTCCCGATCTGTTTCCCTCAGATGATATAGTTTTTGGAGAAATGCAAACCTAGCCATTGTTTTAACATTTGAAAAACTTAAGGTCCCTGTTTTGCAGGGTTCCTAAATCTAACTATTCGAGGCTTTCTTAAGTAACGCTCGGGGGTTTCGAGCATTTTTGAAGTAATCCTCTTATAGCTTGTTCGGCATTTTTGTACTTCCACATTTCTTCTTGGATTTAAAATCTTTTCTTTTTAGGGTAGGTTTTCTAATTTTTTAGTTCATCATAAAGTCTAATTTCATTGCCCTAGCTCGTCATTGGCTTTCCATTTTTTGTGAATAAGGGTGCTACAGCTAAGTTACCTAACTATTTCGTGAACCGTATGTTTTGACTTGCTTGGCTAAGCTACCTAACTATTTTAGTACTCTACACCTACTTCTATAGTTTATAGTCTCAACGGATTCCATTAGGGCATCATCTCTCTCATCACGTCTGACGGTTGGTATGTAACTTTAACAAACAAATGGTTCTTCAACTCAAATGCGAGATACATGGAAATGAAGAAGCAATTGAGTAAAAGAATAAAACACTACCAAATTAAAAATTTTAAATCTAATGAATTATGATTTCAGTCGGAGTTTTGGAGAAAAATGCTGTAAAAAATGGGACTGTATTTTCAGATCTTTAAGTAAAATAATACAAAAATATATATAAATCGAAGGAAAAACATTAGCTTATTGCAGTATCAGTAAATCCTTTTTTCTTTTTTTTGGTACTATAGTTTTTATATAGTTTACTGGTTACTGGTATCGATAAACTGATAGATAGTGTAACTTTTGACAGTGGTTGGAACAATTGCTTTGAAGGACTATACCGAAGCTGCCTCCATTGTCTTTCTGTTCATCATTGCAGAGTGGCTTCAGTCTTGTGCAGGATACAGGGTTAGCATAAAACCCTCATCCTTGTTTTTATGAAACATTTCAGAACGAATAAAACAAAATACAAGTAACAATAAGTGGCAGAAAAACGTAGCAGTGGATTTGAAAGTTTGAGTATGCGGAACAGATTTCGGAACAAGAAGTTTTGCTGAAGACAGTTTTGTACATAATTATGTGATAAACCAAGTACTAATACATTAAAGTGTTATTTTAGGGATTAATGAATGACTTGCTAATGTGTATCATAGACAGTCAAAAATCTAGAATGACATGCTTTTATGTACTCAGGCGAAAGCAGTGATGTCGTCGTTGATGAGCATGGCGCCCCGAAAAGCAGTCTTAGCTGAGAATGGAGAAGTTGTAGATGTTGATGAGGTTAAGTTGAACACAATTCTTGCTGTTAAGGCCGGTGAAGTTATACCGATTGATGGAATAGTTGTTGAAGGAAAAAGCGAAGTGGATGAGAAAACACTAACCGGGGAATCCTATCCAGTAGCCAAAGAAAAGGACTCCACTGTTTGGGCGGGCACTATCAATCTTAATGGTAAAATAAACCTCCCTCTCATCATTCTTTCATCTTGAATAAAAGAGTTATCTTTTCATTTCTGACAAATTTTGGTTTGTATTTGTAAAGGTTATATTAGTGTTAAAACTACAGCGTTAGCTGAAGATTGTGCGGTCGCCAAAATGGTCAAACTCGTTGAAGAGGCTCAAAACAGCAAAACCAGAACTCAAAGATTCATTGACAAATGCGCAATGTTCTATACCCCAGGTTAGTCTACTTTCCCCATACATTTCATGTGTTTCCCTATTCTTTTACTACTAAGGAGAATGCAAACGGTTAGATTATATGTTTTGTGCTGCTGTTTTGCAGCGGTCCTAGTCATATCCGTATCTATCGCAGTGATTCCGGCAGCATTACATGTTCACAATTGGAGCAAGTGGTTTCACTTAGCATTGGTTGTTTTAGTGAGTGCATGTCCTTGCGGCCTCATCCTTTCTACACCCGTTGTGACTTTTTGCACACTCACAAAGGCAGCAACATCCGGACTGCTAATCAAAGGAGGTGACTACGTTGAGATCCTTGCTAAAGTTAAGATCATGGCTTTTGACAAAACTGGGACAATAACAAGGGGTGAATTTGTGGTGATGGATTTTCAATCTCTTCGTGATGACATTAGCTTGAACACATTGCTTTACTGGTATAGACTGGAACTCCTCTATTCATCAACATGTTGAATAACACACACCAAAATTATGATGGAAAGAAAATTTTTAATTCATGAAATTCAGAAAGCGACTTCTAATTTAAAGAGTAATTTAAGGCAGTTTTAAAGGCTGCATTTTAAAAATCGGAAAAGGAATGGTTGGATCGTATTCTTCACTGGAAGAATTTCCTTTGTCCACTAAATTTACAGTTTATTTATCCTCTTGAAGGGTTGCAAGCATTGAGAGGAAGTCCAGTCATCCAATGGCAGATGCGCTGGTTGACTATGGAAGATCGCTTTCGATTGAGCCAAAACCTGAAAATGTGGAGGAGTTCCAAAATTTTCCCGGGGAAGGTATCCATGGGAAAATTGATGGACAAGATATCTACATTGGAAACAGAAAAATAGCTTTACGAGCTGCTTGTGAAATAGGTAAATGCCATCAACTCCTTATCTTCCAAACGATAGCTAGTGATTCCAAAGTTATGATCCATTTTCCTTTTGTTTATGGACTTTTGGATCTCTCATCATTGGTTCTGTTTGAAACTCCAGTTCCTACAACTGAAGGTTCTAATGGTGGGAAAACGATTGGATACATATACTCTGGAGGAACCCCAACCGGAGTCTTTACAATATCTGATGCTTGTCGATCTGGGGCCGCAGAGGCTATCAGAGAGCTGAAGAAGTTGGGTATTAAAACAGCTATGCTCACTGGAGATAGTAATGCTGCCTCATTGCATACAAATGAACAGGTGCATTATTTCTAATATATTAGCCTATGCCTGAAGCCGGGTGCTCACTTTATTGATTCAATTTATGATTTGCCTTGGTATACATCGCTGTAGAACTGCATGTATATTTCCTTTGTAGATTCAGGGGAAAAGGGAACTAATAAGAGTAGCAATTTATCTGACTTGCAGCTTAAGCAAGCTCTCGAGGTAGTACATGCAGAACTTCTACCTGAAGATAAGGCAAGAATCGTTAAAGAATTTAAAACGGAAGGAAATACAGCAATGGTTGGAGACGGTATCAATGATGCCCCTGCATTAGCCACAGCGGATATTGGTATCTCAATGGGCATTTCAGGATCAGCCCTTGCTCAAGAAACTGGGAATATAATTTTACTGTCAAATGACATTAGGAAACTACCAAAAGCAGTCCGACTGGCGAGAAGGGCTAATAGAAAAGTGGTTGAGAATGTTGTTTTGTCAATCACTACTAAGGTTGGTATCCTTGCACTGGGATTTGCAGGGCATCCGCTCGTTTGGGCTGCGGTTCTTGCTGATGTTGGGACATGCATGCTTGTTATATTCAATAGCATGCTACTCTTACAAGGAACCCAAAAGCATGGAGGGAGTACTTCTGCACCACATGCCCATAAACATGGAAGCCATGGACATAGCCTCTCTCACAAAAACCAACATTGTTGCTCAGATAGCAAACCTGTGAAAGCCTGTGAACCTCAAAAGTGTTCATCGCAGTGCCAGCCTACTCCCTTGAATTCAAGCTTGCCGTGTATGCTTAAGTGCAGTGATGACTTACGCAAGGCAAGACACTGTGATGAAGCAAGCTGCATGAAAGTCAATAAAGATCTTGAGTCACAGAATAAACACAATCATGGTTTTTTGAGTCATCATAATTTGAGCTCATGTGCAGAAGGTGATAAAATTCACGAGGCAAAACACTGCGATGGTTCTGCTTCTTCTTTGGTTGAAATTCCAAAGTTGACAAGTAAAGGTCATTGCCACTCAACGCACTGCAGCAAAGAGCACAGCACAAAGGAAAGTGATGGAGTCCATGAGGAAAAACACTGCAATCATTCTATCTTTTCTTTGGATGAAAGCAAAAGATTGACAGATAGTGACATTTCCCACTCAAGAAACTGTGGAAAGGAGCGTAGTAGAAAGGAAGGTGATGCAATACACGAGCCAAAACACTGCAACCATTCTGCTTTTTCAATGGAGGAATGCCAAAAATTGACAAGTACTGGTCATTGCCACTCAACTCACTGTGGCAAAGATCATATTCACAATGAAGCGTTAGGAGAGACGTTTGCCACAAGCTGTGATCATCAGCGTCACTGTAATCTGGATGAAAACTCGCCTCCTTATACGACTATTGATATTGTAACGGGTTGTGACCAAGCAGAATCAGCCCCAACGAAATCTTGCATTGGCTCAGGGACAATGGAAAAGGAAGTGTGCTGCTCGGAATCAGTAGCAAGTCAAGCTTGTGTGTTAGAGAAAAGAGAAGTCGGTGGGTGCTGCAAAAGCTACATGAAGGAATGCTGTGGTAGTCATGGGCATATTGGTTCTAGCTTTAAGGGTTGTTCATCAGAAATCACAATTGAATAGATGTAACAGACTGAAAAAAGTTATATATATCCACACCTAATCGAACTTCAATGATCCGAACTGTCTATTTTTCAAGTTGCACCTCATGAATTATCCTTACAAAATATTAGCCAAATCGAAAATATTTGAGATATCTTTTTATTTTATTTTATTTTATTTTATTTTATTAATTTTTTGAAGCTTTTAGACATCTAATTGAGGAATGAAAAACAGGATTAGAACATATGGCAAGTGCAGACATATCATCACAATGCAAACAAGAAGGTAAGGGAAGAAACTGATGTATGTCCCTGAGCAATGATTGAATCCAGAAAATGTCAGCTACACCACTGGTTAATGCTTTTTACTCTGCTTTTGTTGAACTTGAAACAATTAACTGCCATGATATTGGATTGGAACCCAAACACACAACATAACCAGTGATGGATCTTCTAGTGTTAATATTAGCAACCTAGTCGGAATCTGAGAAAGCAGTTATAGACATATCCTCACTCTTAGTATACCTCAAACCAAAATCAATTGTACCTTGCAGATACTTTAGAATTCTGTTAACCAAATAAAAATACAATTATGTAGGATTAGTCATGAATGGACAAACCATGATAACTAAATGAGCTAGATCATGCCCTTGTAAAAGTCAAGTATTGCAGAGCACCAGCCAAACTTCTGTAATGACGTGGATCAATCATAGGTGTTTCTTCAGTAGCAAGTAAATGTGTGCAAGGTTTGGATGGTGTAGATGTAGGCTTATAATGTTCCATACCTGCCCTTGTCAATATCTAGAAACACTGGGATACAAAGGAGTTGTATCTATTGAAGTGGAAAGAGTACCTTCTACTGTGCATGATTGAAGATAGGAAGCAAAGGAGTTGTATCTATTGAAGTGGAAAGTGTATGGTCTGATGTAACTGGTACTTCACAGTCTTGAACTTGAGAATTCTCATTGCTTTCAGCAGTAGAAGGTACTGACATTCCATAGTGATTAAAAGATAAGGAGACAGAATCAATCACAAGATCTTGAGAAATAACACCAATTGAAGGTTGAGTAACTGGTATTGGACCTAATATTTGAGAAATACCAGATTGAAATTGTACCATTTGCTCTCTAATTGTGTGTTGTGAATTTTTTTAAAAAGGAAATACTGTCTCATCATGAATAACATTCCTAGAAATAATACATTTCTTTGTCTTCAAGTCATAACAAATAACACTCTTATAACCCATGGAATACCCTAAGATGTACATAATAGTGATGTTGGACTGTAGCTTAGTGGCATTGTAAGATCTTAGCCAAGGAAACATTGATGTACCAAAGGTTTTTAGGGGTTTTAAAGTGAATAATTTGGAGTATCCATCTTATATATCAATCTTTGTAATATTACTTATCAGGCACTTCTTAGTAGTGCATTTCTGATAATCAATGTGATTTTGCACCACAAAAATCTATTGTGGATAATATTTTAGTTGCCCATGAGATTTTTAGCAATTTCAATAAAAGGAAAGGTCCAACGGGTCTTACGGTGGTCAAGCTAGACTTGGAGAAAGCCTATAATATCTTGAATTAGGACTATATTAAGTAATGCCTTTTAAAGTTAGAAAAACTAATAAAAGGGTTTTCAAAACTTTTTTTTTTTTTTAACAAACGATATTATTTATACTAAGGAGGTGGGTGAGTGGGCTAAGCCTTATAATAGGCTAGTCATCTGATAACTTATAAGGACAAGATAAAGAAAAGAAGAAAAAAAAATAAAACATAAAAAACTTAACCAAAAGAGTCTGCAACGTACGAGAAATTTTTCTAAGTTCCGAGCTTATAATCTGACGTGAAGGTCCACCAACTATACCTTGACACTAGTACACATGTTTAACACCACCCACCACTTGAAAAATAAATAAATTAAACATATTGGGGTTAGGGCTCCACTAGGCTCTCATTTCTCTCTTTCCTTCTTCGGGAAACTGAAAGGCTTTTATGTGAAACAACCACTAGCCTTCTCTAAGTTCCCTCTTACTTTCCCTTTGTCGTCTCGCATGCCAGCAACCAAGCAATTTCAGACCAAAACATCAAGGCATTTAAATTATTTAAAATCATAACTCAACAATTTAATTTCAAAATTATCCAATTTTTTCAAATTCATGTTTTAGTTGGACGATACTAGAGTTTCGGGGTGGGTTCATGGTGATATGGTTGTTCAGTGGAGGGCATTAACGACAAGTGGGTGATCTTGGCTATGGCAATAGCGGAAGTTTGGATGCAGATTGTGGGGAAGTTTTGGTCGGAGACTGCTAGGAAAAATTTGCCATATAACGCTTTCATTTTTTGGTCAACAAATAAAAAGACTTTTCAGTTTTCGAAGAAGGAGAGAGGAAAAAGAGACCGTTGGGGCCCAAACCATGTTTTATTTTTTTATTGTTAAATGGTGGGGTGGTTTTTAAATGTGTACAGTTGGCAAATTATGATCGGTGGAATTCCAGATCCGCTTATTAGCCCGAAATTTAGAAAAATTTCTCGTAGCGTACCTCTGTAGCTTCTAACTCTGTGGGTAAGCTGCAACCTGTGTGGTAGCTCTTATCTCTAACATCTCTACGGAAATCCATAAAGCCAAGTGAATATATAAACAAATTAATTGTAACTTTGGAAAGAGAAGGAATATTGTTTGCGCTTTGCGGCGTTGTTTTGGAGAGCAGAAAAATTAAAAACAGAAAGAAAGAGAAGGAAAGGGGGTGGGACCCACTTTGTAACATAAGGAACCCTTGGATGCTCTAATCCATTTAGACTTGTTTTAATTTGTTGTTACTTTCTTCTAATCCACTTAGCATAGTTTTCAATTTGGAGGCCCCAAACCATGTGACCAGGTTCCTAAACTTGACTACCTTTCAAAATAGTAAACAACCATGCGCAAGCTTAAGACTAGGGAGTGTGTCGGCCAAATGCTCTCCGATGGTCAAGTTTGTGAACAATTTTAGACTCAAGCAATGGGAAAGATATTCAAACGTTTTGATTACTCTACTAAAGATGAACCCTAGATGGGGTTATTTATACTGTGGGGAGAGACCTTTTAGGATAAAATCCTCGTTCTAAGCCGGTAGAATCCTATAGGATATCTAGAAGTAGATATTGCACTCTCTTAGGAGTTGTGACTACTTATGCCGCGTGCCAAATCCTAGATTGTAGGAACTCCAAAAACTATAAGGATCTGATTGAGTCTATATCCGGATCAGATCACATATCATGCGGAATAAGCATGGTTATCCACCAGAGTCGCTAGGACTCTGCCTATTGCCCTGGAACAAAGTGATAGTGGCACTACTACTCTGTCTGATCCAACTACATGCGTGGAGTTGGTGTGTCCGTGACCAGACTTTTGAGGTAAAAATATTTGGATTAGCCTTACTAAGGCACCAGAAAATTATAGTCCTACAATTTTCCCTAACTATGCATTTAAGAGGCCACTTATTCTCCTTGAGGATGGATTGTTATCCAAAGACCATGTCTTTTGGAGTAAACTAGAAAGCGTACTGTTTAGTATTCTATCTTTGTGTGCTGATCTGACTTTTGGTGATAAAATGAAGGTGTTTCAGATCCAAATGTGTGTCCTCAAGTACCGTGCCATAAAGTTTGTAATGATGAGACTTTGCGTTTGTGGTGTGTACACGAAAAACAAGAAATCTCTTCCTATATTTTTTTACCAATGTCTTTAGCCGTCAGATTCACTGATCCCAAGGTAAGTTAGTCAGTATTCAATAGTTGAATGATGTTGTCAAATGAAGCTTTTATAATCTCAGATCTTTCCCTTTCGTTTATCAGAACCCTTAAATCATTCATTGTAAAAAAAAGCTCTAACTTTTTTCTTATACAAATTCAAAAACCCTCCTTATTTTGTTGAAGCCTTACCCATGGTGTCTTCAAGAAAAAATACCAAATCCCCCAAAAATTTTCCCTATAACCTTCCATTAACGAGGGTTCGTAACCAGAAGGAAAGCCAAACCTTTATTGAAAATCATCGAGATCTCTTGGGCCAATGTAAAGTCAAGTGGTAGCTGGGTCAAGATATTCATGCTACATTCTCAACATCGTCCGATCCTTAGTGTCCCTGCATTAGGATTTATCCTTGGTTTTGCGACTTGAGTATTGGTTTCCCTCTTTCTGATTTCTTGAAAAGCATCTTACTGTGATATGACATAGCAAATTGCAATCTTTCCCCAACGGCCTTCAGACTTGTCACTCACTCCGAATTACTAAATCAATGGTGTAGAGCCGAGCTGGGCATTCAAGAAGTTAGAATGCTGCATAACCTTAGGATGGGTTTTGACGAATACTACTACTTCTTGGCCAGACTTAGCCTTATTTGGTAGTCATACATTCAGGATTCCCTTTATCAAGACAAGGACTGGTTCAGGGACGTCTTGGTTGTCAATGGGATTTGGAAGGGAGAGATAAATGGGGTTAGGGTTACAGTTCTCCATTTTTACAATTTAGAATTTAGCAATGAGTTCGAAATCATTGAGGTATGTCATCCAGAAGTGATCCGTTATGCAATGAAAATTCATGCTGCATTGCAACTAAAAGTGGTTGTTCTCCCCTAAATGCTTCACCAATCGAGGAAAATGATCATGCCATCAATCACTGCTTGAAATTCCTTATACCGGATCTGAAATGGATCGAAGCCAAGGGTGTCCACAGATGGATTCAATCCTTCAAGTCGAAGGTTGCTCCATCTTCTGGCTTGAAAAAGCGGGAGCAACCTAGCAGCTCATCCTCATAACCATTGCTTGTTCCTTCACAACTTCACTTGCTGATTAGGGATATGATGCCCGATTGCCTCGAAGACAAGGAAGGGATCACCTTTTAAATGAAAATATGCATAGCTTCTTTGGCCTTCATGATTTTTAGAACATCTACCCTATTACCTTTGGTGAATGAACCACCAGTTTCATATTCCTTACTTTTAGAGCCAGAACCACTACAGTCACTTAAGCCTAAGCCCAAACTTCTGTTCATGCATCATCCTTTGCCCCCATCCTTCCATAAAAAAATACTCATGGAGGTGCTT